ACTCCTACTGTAACACCCCCCACCCCCGCCGCTGCCAATCCCTTCCTCCCTCTCTCTCTCTCTCCCTCTTTCCCAGCATACAGGTGAGTGCCCAGCCACCATCCCCTGTTATTAGGCCAATCACAGTTGCCTGGGAGGAGGGCTACAACTCCAGCTGGGCCTTCTCTCATAGGAGCAGGAATATTGAAATGGAAGAGCCCAGGGAGAATCCTACAGGGAACTCTGAACCCAATCGGTGGAAGAGGGAGCGATTCCACACACTTGGAGTGAGGACTGAGGAGGATCCTGGGTCCAGGCTGCTGAGATTGGGGCAAGGCCTGTGGACAAAGCCTCACCTTGGCACTCTGGGTTCCAAAAGATGGAGGGGATTCTCTGAGGCACTGGGATCCTTAGCTCTAGGCATCTTCTTTTCTTTCTTGCCTTGCTTTTATTTCTTCTATCTTCCTTCTGCTTTCTTATCCATCTTCTCATCCCTACTTTTTTATATCCCCATCTTCCTCACCCACTTTAATTCCCCTGCTCACTCTTAACCTCAACTTTGTGACTTCTTCTTGCCCCTCCTCTTCACAAACCCCCTCTTACACCCTCTGGTGTCCCCACCCTCTTATCCCCCTTCTCTTCCTAATCCTTCATCTTCTCCCACCCTCACTGCATCCCTATACTTCCCTTACCCTCCATCTCTTATCCCTCTGCTCTTTCTCTTCAGGTCTACCCCCATCACCACCATTTCCTACTCTCCAACTCCCTACTCTTTCTCACTCTCTCTTTCTTACATACTCCTCCTTCATTCCCTCTTACCCCACTGCCACTCTCTTCTACCCCTTAGGCTCCCTCTTACCAGTTCACCTCTCTCTCACCCTGCCTCTTACCCTCGCTTGATCTCTTACACTCTCCTTCCTTTGCACATACCTTTTATCCCAACAATTTCACTTTTAAGAGCTTATATAAACAAAATTTAACACAAGTGTACAAGAGACATATATATGAAGATAGTCACCAAAGCATTGTTTATAATAGTGAGAACTTGGAAATAACTGAAATGTCCACCCACAGGAGATTGGTACTCTTCCCACCCCATTCATACAAAACTCTCTGTTCTTTTAGCATGCCATGAATTTACTTACCTCTGCACTTCCTTCACCTCAGCCTGGAATGCCCTTTGGTCTCATCTCTACCCATCCCATCTAAAATCCTACTCTGAATTCTAGCTCAACTCTTATCTTCTTGCCAAAATCTTCCCCAGCTTTTCTATTTGCTTCCCTTCAATGGCCCGTGGTTTACCTCTACAGTATAGATCACATGCCATAGATTCAAATTAGACGCATCTACCTATGAAACTGGAATTTCTCCTAGAGCAGGGATTGGTTCTCATTTGCGTGTCCTGTTCATTCAATCAACAGACTTTTTTTATGTATATTGTGCAGAGTACACAATGGTCAATAAGACAAACCCTGTCTGCTCTCATGCATCGTGCATTTTAGTGAGGCTGACTGAGAAAACCCAAACGAAGATGCAGACAAAGTCGTGCTTGTGGTGAAGAAACACTTAAGAAAAAGAGGGAGTAATGAGAAGGCATCCTCTAAATAGAGGGGTCAGGAAGACCATCTCTGAGGACTTGACCTGTGAACCAGGCCTGAAAGATGAGAAGAACCTAGCCATGCAAAAAGGCCAGGGCGGGGTGTGGAGAGCATTCCAAGCCAAAAGAACAGTATGAGCCAAGGTCCTGTGGTAGGAAGAAGTAGGGTATGTTCAAGGAAAAGAAAGAAAACCTGTGTGTGTACATGTGGAGCATGATGAATTTGAAGGGAGAGATAGGAAATGAGCTTGGAGAGACAGATGGAAGCCAAGTTATGCAGGGGCTTGAAGTTCGTGGTCAGAAGGTTTGGGTTATATTCTACATGCATTGAAGGGTTTGAAACAAGGGAGTAATAGGATCTGGTTGTGTTTGAAGATCACTGTTACTCCTGTATGAACAGCGGATTGGAAAAATGAAGAGTAAGAGGCAGGGAGGCCAAATGAGAGACTCTTGTACAGTTGACAGTAGTGGCCTGCACAAAGTTGTGGAAATGGAGTAAGAATTGGCAAGCCTCACTGATGGACTGCATGCAGGGATGCACAGAAAGAGAGGAATAAAGGCTGACGCCTAGGTTTCTGGCTTGAATACCTGGGTAGCTGACCATGGCACTTCATTGAAATGGTCCAAACTTGGAAATGAGGGCAGATTTGGAGTAAAAAAAAAAAAAAATGAAGACCTTCATTGTAAGATTTAGAGCATGTTAAATGTGAGATGTCGGTGAGCTGTCAAAGCACCAAGCAACACTCTGTTCCTCAGGGGGTGGATTTGCACTACAACCCACTATACCACCCACCACCACCACCCGTCACCACCCCCTGCTTTGGAAAAGGCTTCTGGGGGGACGCATTGTGAAAGCTCCTGTTCACAGTGAAGTTATTTGTATTTTACTGAAAGTGTTTAAAGTCAGCATAAGAAGCTCTGACCATGTGGTTCTTGATGTGATGGAAAAGCTTCCGGCAGCACCATGACCGGGACTTTTGTTCGAAATACAGATTCCTAAGCCCACCTCAGTCCTCTTGAAGCTAATCTATTTAACAAGCGCCCCAGGGGATTCTGAGGCCTATGGAAATCTAAGTGCCTTTGCTGTGAGAAGCAACAATGACAAGGTGCCCCTGAAGATATGAGGAGGCTGGGGGCAAGGCTAGCCCCATACAGGAGTTGCCTGGGCATCCTGTTGATGTGCTGTGTGGCAGGTCGGGGGCGGGGCCTGAGATCCCACGCTTCTCACAAACTCCTAGGTGCTGCTGAGGCTGCTGATCCACATCCACACTTTCAATAGCAAAGAGCTAGCTTAGTGGTTCCCAGTGGGGGATGATTCTGACCCCCTCCCCGACCCAGGGACATTTGACAATGGCCAGAGACATTTTTTGGTTGTCACAAAAAGGGGAGGGGCGTAGGACTGGCAACTACTGGGTGGAGTCAAGAAATGTCGCTCAAGGGGTGCCCGGGTGGCTCCGTCGTTAAGCTCCGTCGTTAAGCGTCTGTCTTCAGTTCAGGTCATGGTCCCAGGGCCTGGGATATAGTCCTGAGTCAGGCTCCCTGCTCAGTGGGAAGCCTGCTTCTCTCTCTCCCACTCCCCCTGCTTGTGTTCCCTCTCTCGCTGTCTCTCTCTCTGTTAAATAAATAAATAAAATCTTTTTTAAAAATGTCACTCAGTATCTTATAATGCACAAGACAGTTGCCAGTACAAAGGATCCAGTCCATGGATATTTACCCAAAGAAAATAAAAACACTAAATCAAAAAAATATATGCACCCCTATGTTTATAGCAGCATTATTTACAATACCCAAGATATGGAAGCAACCCAAGTGTCTATTGATAGATAAATGGATAAAGAAGATACGGGGTGTGTGTGTCTATGTGTGTGTGTGTGCATGTGTAATGGAATATAACAGAATGGAAATAAAAGTCATAAAAAGAATGGGATTGTGCCATTTGAAACAACATGGGCCCAGAGGGTATTGTGTTAAGTGAAATAAGTCACACTGAGAAAGGCAAATACATATGCTTTCACTTATATGTGGAATCTGAAAAAGCAAAACAAATGAAAAAGAAACAAAGCAGAATCAGACCTAGAAATACAGGGAACAAACTGAAGGTCACCAGAAGGGGAGAGGATGGAGAGATGGGCAAAATGAGTGAAGGAAACTAGGAGATACAGGCTTCCAGTGACGGGACAAACAAGTCACAGGAGTAAAAGGCACAGCACAGGGATTAAAGTGAATGGTATTATCGTGTTGTATGGTGGCAGATGGTAGCTACACTCTTGGGGACTCTAGCATAGAGTTGTTGAATCACTATGTTGCACACCTGAAACTGTGTAACATTGTATGTCAACTGTATTTCAATTAATTAATTAGTTGATTTTAAAAACTTTGTTTTAAGATTTTATTTATTTGAGAGAGAGAGAGAGAGCATGAGCGGGAAGGAAAGGCAGAGGGAGGAGAAGCAGGCTCCTTGCTGAGCAGGGAGCCGGTTGTGGGGCTTGATCCCAGGATCCCTGGATCATGACCTGAGCCTAAGGCAAACGCTTAACTGACCGAGCCACCCACACACCCCTTTAAAAAAAAAAAAAAAAAAAAAAGATTTATTCAGTTCAAAATGGTAGCTGGGGTTACTGTGGAGAAAGTCTGGGCTTGATGATAACCAAAGAGTACAGAGCAGGGAACCTCAGCGAGGACCCAGGGCCTGGTCGGAGTGGGCTATATGAGGAACAGGAAGTATACTGAGAAGTGAAACTGCAAAGGAGCGTTTGCAAACGAAACGTGCCATCTGCCCCACACCGTGGCTGAAGCCAACAGGACAGAGCATGGATTCAGTAGAGCTTGAAAACACATGTGGTGCCTGGTTAAGGCAGATTCCTGTTTTCATTAAAACTAACCCTTCACGTTGGTATTGCACTTCAGAGTTTACAAAAACATTTTTACATGTGTCTTATCTGATCCACGTAACACCCTAATGAGGGAGGGCAGGGATTATTCCTTCCACCGCTTTCTTCAATTTAGAAACTTTACACCATCAGCTGAAGAAGTGTTTGCTGAATGGAACAGAACTGAAGTTTACCTCATTGTAAGTGACTCCGGACAAGTCAGGATACCTCCTGGGGTCAACGAAACCAGTAGGGTTGGATGGGATGATCCGTAAAACCCCTTCCAGCTCTGACATAGGAGTAGTTTTGTGATTTTACCAGTGAAAAGAAAACATAAGCCTTGAAGGACTGCAGGTGAGGGGCCTTAGGACTTGGGGCTATGAGATGGGAGATTTTAGAGGAGGATTAGCGGTCTTTGACCCCCACCCTTCTTCTCCCCCACCCCCTGGATCCTGGTGTTGGGTGGGTGGGCAAATACACCCCCTCCTTCATCCCCGTCTTTTGAGGAAGGAAGGGGCTGGCACCTGGGCTGACGCTCTTTCCTCTCCCCTTAGGCTGTCTACAAGGCCTGGCTGTGCTCCGAATACTTCAGCGTGACCCAGCAGGAATGCCAGCGCTGGGTGCCCTGTAAGCAGTACTGTCTGGAAGTGCAGACCCGGTGCCCCTTTATACTCCCCGACAACGAGGAAATGGTGTACGGAGGGCTTCCTGGCTTTATCTGTACAGGTAAAGGCAGAGCGTTGATGACGAGGAGGGAGGAGGCTGGGGGCCCAGGGAAGACACCAGGTTGGGGGCGTGGGAGCAGGGAGGACGACAGGGGAGTCAGATTAGAAGAAGCCTAGTGCCTTGAAGAGTGGGCAGCGAGGTCCCCAGGTTCAGACAGGGCCGAGCAGAGCAGGGGCAAAGAGCACAGGGGCCATTTCTCTCCGCAACTTGCCCGAGAAACTGTCTGGGATCCCTGGGAGAGAAGTATCCAGAAAGGGAAGTCGCCAAGGGACAGGGGAAAGGAGTCTGGGCCAGGGCTACCAGTGCAGTCACAGCTTTGAAAAATCTCCTCTCTAGGAAAGCCACCTGTCCCTTTAGCACGCCACCACACCTTCCTTATCCATTGGCAGGGTTGCTGGATACTTCGCCAAAGCGGCCGGAAACCAAGTGCTGTGACGTGCAGTGGGTCTCCTGTGAGTCGGAGAAGAAGAAGTTCAAGGAGACTGAGGCCCCCAAAACCCACCACCAGCAATTCCACCACTCCTATTTCCACCACTACCACCAACAGTACCACCATTTCCACCCCCGCCATGACCCCCCCGGCCACATCAGCCACAAGCCCTCCCTGCTGCCGGTCTCCGGGGGCTCCCGCCTCAGCCCCAGCAGGATCCGGCTCTATGTCCTTGTTCTCATGCTCCTCCATACCATGGTGTCCTTCTCCAGCAGCCAGGGCGGTGGAGGACTGGGGCTGGAGGCACTGCCGGCCCTAGATGAGGGCCTGACTCGGGAAGAGTGACAGCAGGAAGGGAGGACAGACCTCCACCGCACACTGACATCAGCTCCATCCCCCCAGGGGGAGGGGGAGGGGCTCCTCCCATGGGAGGTATAGGACCAGGTGGGGGGCGGGGGGAAATGGGGGGCCACACATCACCCCCAACGTACCCCCACCCCAAAAGCAGCTCCAGCAGTAGGGCCAGAGGGCCCCAGGGAGCTGCAAAACTCATCCAGGAGAACAAGGCAAGAACAGCAGGTGCCCCCCCCCCAGGTCCCGATCTATGGGGCTTAGCAAAAAAAGGGGAGGAGTGGGGGCTGGACATATCCACTCCTGCTGAGAGCCCTGACCCTAGGGAAGGAGGCTGCTCAACCAGCCTTGGCCCTGCAGGGAATGTTGGGGGGCACAGAGGGGAGAAGCTCTTTCCCCCCTCCTCATTCCTTTTGTTGCCACGATCCTTAATTCCCTCCTGCCCATACCCCTATAGGCAATGGCAGACGGTGCAGTGGCCCTTCTCCTACTCCAGCGCACCTTGCCCCATGTGGGGCCACCACAGGCAAGTGCCAGGCTGGGAGGTGAGGTGCATACAGTCATGGCTAGGTCGGGGCCCCGGTTAAGCTGTGCCCTGCCACCCTAGGCAATGAGGGGTAGGAATGGGGTACAGAATGAGTGGTGAGAGAGAGTGGAGATAGGGAAGAGGGAGAAGAGAGGAGGGAAGAGGAGGGGAGGGGAGGAGAGGAGAGGAGGGGAGGGGAGGGGAGAGGAGAGGAGAAGAAAGGAGAGTAGAGAAGAGATGAGGGGAGAGGAGAGTGTGGGAGAAGAGGAAGAGAACAGGGCAGGGGGAGGGGAGGAGAGTAGGAGAGGGAAGAGGAGAGGAGAAGAGAGCAGAGGACAGGAGAGGAGAGAAGAGTAGGGGAGGGAAGAGAGGAAAAGAAAGGAGAGGAGAGAAAGGGGGAGAGGAGAAGAGAGTTGGGGGAGAGAAAAAAGAGAGGGGAGGGGAGGAGAGGAAAGGAGAGTAGAGGAGGGGAGAGGAGAAGAAAGGAGAGGAGAGAAGAGGGGGGAGGAGAGAAGAGCAGAGGAGAGGAGAGGTGAGGAGAAGAGAGTAGGGGAGGGAAGAGAGAGAAGAGAGGAGAAAGAAGGAGAGAGGAGGAGAGGAGAATGGAGGAGAGGAGAGTGGGGGGGAGAGGAGTAGAGAAGGGAGGAGAGGAGGGGAGAAGAGAGCAGAGCAGAGGACAGGAGAGAAGGGAGAAGAGAGGAGGGAAGGGGAGAAGAGGAGAGAGGAGAGCAGAGGAGAGGGGAGGGGAAGAGAGGAGAGGAGAGGAACAGAAGGGAGGGGAGAGATGTGGGCAGAGAGCTTAGAGAAATGACTGAATGGTTTACAGTCACCTGGCTTGGGGAAGATGGATGATCAGTGTTGAGGCAGGCTTGAGAACAGCTCCCCAAATCAGATAGGGTTACATAAAGAGTCCTGCAGGGAAAGAGCACAGGAAGTCTGTTGTTGGGCCTCGAAACAGAAGGCTGATAGCACATGGTCAGACTGCCACTGTCTGAAGGGCCATTATCTTACAGAAGGTGCACATACTCCCAAGGGCCACTCTTGCCCTGGAGATCTTGGCCTTGAGGCCAATGATGTTTCCATTTCTGATCTCCATGGGGAGGAGGGACTTAAGCCCAGTGGGTCAGGCCTGGCCTGGGTCCCCATACACCCTCATTCTGTCCTAGCCCAGGCCTCCATGAAGGAGAACCTGGTGGCATTGCCCCAGGGCTTTCCAGAGATGAGCCTCCCCTGTCCCCACCCTGTCCCCATCCCCAGCCTACCAAAGAGTATTTGTCCCTTCCCATCCCTGACCCCATGGGTTACTATCTCAATTGTGGAACAACCAGACTCTTCCTCACCCTGTAGCAGGTCTCCTGATCCAGGCACCCCTGCCCCCTCCTGGAGAATGTCCGGAGACGGGCAAGAGGACCCACTGAATAAAGATAATGTGCTGTCTTTTCTTGGCTGAGACTGGAAATACTCAGTTAGGCCTGAGAGCTAGACAAGAAATGAGGCCTCCAAGGCCCCTTGGGGGCTATTAGCCTTGTGCTGATCTGGGAGTGGGAGGCCACATTACCTGGGACATTTACAAGCCAAGAAGAGCAGACAAGAAAGGCAGCCAGAACTGTGTCCCTGGGACAGGCCAAGGGGCTTTCAGTGCCAGGAGGTCCTGTGTCCTAGGCTGCATGTGATGCCAGCAAGTGAAGGGAGGGGGAGGGGACAGCCTGAAGTAGTTATCAGGGGAGAGATGGGAGACCTCCCAGGAGAGAGGGTATCATTCAAGGACTTCCACTGGGTCCCAAATAGGCTCCATGAGACTGGGGAGTCCTTCCCTGCCAGTTTTCTCATTTGTCACAGCCTGTTTCCCTCCCCTGACCCCCGTGCCCTGCCCACACCCTCTCCCGTTTGGCCCACAGCACTTCGGGCCTAGCCACATGCCCCATCCCTAGAGTGCTCTTTTCAGCTGGGGAGGGGAAGAGGTGCTGGCTCCTTTCCAGAGACGCTTCTGTAGATGTGAGAGACCCTAGGTCCTGCCTTCTAACTCCTGCATCCTCAGGAGGGGCAAGGGGACTGGGAAGTAAAGGGGGACCTTAGGGCCCCAAAGAATGGACCCTTGGAGACTCCCATCCTCTCTTCCCCATCACCAAGTGCCCAGGAGACCCCTGGCTCAGACCAGCCCAGGGCCTTGCCCAGTGGCAGGGGAAAGGGGCACCTCACTCCACCTCAAAGTCATTTGGACTGTCCCTGTCCCCCTCACCACCCAGATCTTCCACCACCCCTCCAGCTGCCCCCTGCTCTCCATCACAGGCAGCAGAGCTGGGCAGCTTTCTTATGCCATTTTCTACACTGTGCTTCATGAGTAGACCTCTCTTGCACTAGTTCCTATGACTGAGTCTCCAAGCTGGATTCCTAGTAGTCCCCCGTCCCTTCCGCCCTCACCTGGCTATGATTCAGTTGTTCCCCTTCCCCCTGCCTCTGTGTTTCGGTGAGAGTCTCTGTATGTGTACTGCTTTCTGTTTTGTTGCATTGTGGGGCAGAGACCTCTCTGCCCTTGTTTAACCCCATAAAGAAATAAATGGTAAGACTTGATGATAACCCTCCCTTCATGGCTTTGTTCCATGGTGTCAAGCACTGGGAGAGAGGAGAAAGTCTAGGGTTTGTGGAAGGGGTGGGACCAGAGGACACTGACCCCCGTGACCTACTTCTTGGTGGCTCAAGTCTCAAAAATAAAAAAAAAGAGAGAGAGAGAGAAAGAAAGAAAAGAGGAAACTCTGCAGGAGGCCATTCAGACGAGGAATCACAAAATCAACCATCCTCTGGGATCAGGCAGATAAGGGTGAGTGCACAAGGTGGGCCAGGCTGAAGCGAAGGTCAGACTCCAAGGCTATGAGTGGTGAGAAGGGCATGGTGTGTGCATTTGGCAGGTGGCAGCTCAAGTCCAAGTTTGTCTTGTGGGAATGTGGGCATAGGGAGGCCTTTTTTCTTTGTGAAGCCCCCTCATTTCTAAATATTGGCTCACGTCTGCAGAAAGCAAATCTCCATGTGGGCTTAAGACATCTGCTGTCCCCACAGGGCCTGGGGATCAACGGTTTCCCACATCTGCTGCAGCCTTTGCTTGCAGTCTACCAGCCTCAGGTCTCCTCGCTGCTTCTCTGGGGGCCTGTGTACCCAGCACAGAAGTGAAAGGCCCCCGGGGAAGAACTGCAGGAAGGGCGACAGACAGAGCCCTCCGCCGCCACCAGCTTTTCACATAAACAGGGCAAGGGAGGGCATGTGTTAAGAGGGAATCTGGTGTCCTCACCAGCTTCTGAATTCCTGTGCCAAGAAAGCACAAGTCCCCCCAACACCCCCCAAGGTAACAGAGCAGGGAGGTTAGGGCATCGTCGCAAGCACAAACTCTAGCACTGATGTCTCCTACTTGTCTGGCTTGGCACGAGTTCCTTGACTTCTTTGAGCCGTGGTGACCTCATCTGTCCAAAGGGTTATTGGGCGAATTTACACGGCATACCTACAGCACTTCGCACAACAGCACCCATGGAAGGGAGCTGCACAAGTATTGATCATGATTATCGTCACTGCTCAGTCTTTTTTCTCTTACCTTCACCTCCACTTCAAGATCTTGTTTATTTATCTATTTATTTATTTGAGAGAGAGAGAGAGAGAGAGAGTGGCAGGGAGGAGCAGAGGGAGAGGGACAAGGAGACTCCACTCTGAGTGCAGAGCCGCGCATGGGACACAATCCCGAGATCGTGACCTGAGCCAAAATCAAGAGTCGGGGGCTTAACCGACTGAGCGACCCACCTAGGTGCCCCTTCACTCCCCACTTAAAATGGTCACCAAGTTTTGTCAGTTCTACCTCTGTCACGTGTTGGCTCCTGCCCCTCCTTTCCACTCCCCCTGACTCTGCCACTTAACAGGCCTGCGGTAGCTCCTGCCTGGACTACTGCAATGGCCTACCAACTCATCTCTTGTTCAGTCACTCCAACTCCGATCCATCCTCCCCCATCACAGGGTGCTGAGGCACTTAGGAGGCACTCCAGAAATATTTCATGAAAGAACTGTCGCCATGCAGCACACATCTAATCTTCCTAAAGTGAAGAGATTATCCCTGTGATCCAAACACTGGTTGGCTCCATGTTGCCTGTACAGTCAAGAGTAAACTTCAGAGCCTGACTTTCAAGGTTCTGCATGTTCTTTTTTTTTTTTTCTATATTTTTTTTAAAATTTTATTTTTTATAAACATATAATATATTTTTATCCCCAGGGGTACAGGTCTGTGAATCGCCA